GCCCCCAAGCATATTTTTTAAATCATGATCAAAAAAGTAAAAGCAAAACAACCAATAATCCAAAAAGGACTGAAACTTTAAGTAATATAAGTAAACGGCCTAATTAAAAAAATAAGCAAGACCTACATCCTTTGTCACATTTACTAAAACTTTATGTTCCAGCATTCCAAAATAAGCAACTAAAGTGCATATTATAGATTTATAAATGTGTATATTTTTAGGTTTTTAATAAAAACAATAGTAGTAAACTTTATTTCATGAACTGAAGCATTTCTAAATATTGCGTATAGTGTGTTTTTGTTTGTATAGAGTATTTTATAATTGTAGCTAAAGAGTTTGGAAAACTTTTAGATTAGATGTGTCCTGTTCCTGTTCTATGATTAAATTCCAAATATTTCTTTAGGATGCATTTCCTTTTCCTCTCTGAGCTACTGTGTTTTAGGGCAACAATGTTAGAACTACGCAATTAAAAGATTAGCCATAACAAATAGTCTGTCTGACATGACCCACCTGGCTAGCTCAGGTTTCCTTTTCTGCCCAGCATTTATTGAGATGTAATTTTCTACATTCATCTGTGGTTACTTATGTTTATGATTCTTTTGTATTTATCTTATTATAATCTTTATCGCAAGATCATTGTGAGTTATAATGGAGGATGTGAAGAAGAACTGGCCATACCAAAAAGCAAAAAATTTAAAATCAAGGGCACAGGGCACTAGCTGTTTGCCCTCTCTAGCTATTTGTTTGTAATTAGAAAGAAATGATTGTAGATGATCAGAGTGATTGGACTAATCAAAAGTTGGTATAAGTAAGTCCCCCAGAATTACACACTCCAGTATTCTTACGGAGATTCCATCAAGTCCCTGAGTGGATGTAGAGGAGCTTTACCCAACTTTTTTTTTTCCAGCATGAGGAGAAAAGACAATGATGCAAAACAACAAATGCAGTCCTTAGATTACTTTTTTAAATAAAATAGTTTTTTCGGAACGGGGGTTTATGTTGTTTTTATTTCATGTATTTCCTCTTTTTTTGTGTTTATTAACATTTTGTGAAAGGCAGCACATTTTGTGAAAGGTAGAGGAGTGCCTTTTACCTATTTGCAAATGTCTGGCAATAATGGGGTGAGTCTATATTTTTGCACATGCCTTTAAAAACATTTTTTTAATACAAGACATGTACCCCAGCGAACAGGTAAGGGCTTCTTTACCAATTTACTGGGGCAGTGGAGAAAGACATTTCTGCATTTACCACATTGGAAGGAAAGTGGAGGACCACATAAAAAAATGAATTTAGAAACCTTACTATATTTTGTTTAACAAAATAGGTTCAGCAGATCAGTCAATATTTGAAGATATTTGCCATCTTTGAATTGCCTCAATCTAGGTAGAATATTATTCTGTGTGAATTGGTTTGCTTGTCTCTAGCTATAAATTCTAAAGGATGATTCAATATGGCAAAATGCAATGGGCAACAACCTATAGCAACCAATCTGTAAATGATCTTAGCACTTTAACGTTTATGCAAATTAATTGCTCTGGGCCCCCGACTCCTTGAACAGCATCACTTTGATGACTTTCCTCAAACTGTGGATGGTATGCTGGAATGATACAACAGTTTTCTGATTTTTCTGATGATGATGCTTTAAAATGTCCTTGTTTTGATGAGCTAAATATTATTTGAGTTTTAAAGGACAGACTTATATCTTGATTGGCGGGGAGGAGGGCAGATTGTGTTGAGTATCAGTGTATCAGTAATACTCAAGCATCTAAAAACCCTCAGGGGTCCCACATGGAAAACATCTTGTCTACCTCCATGAATTCCTATAGACCAATTACAATCCTTATGATAGTAAAAGGGTAATATAGGTGAATAATGATCAAAAAGAGAGCACAGCCAGGCTAAGAAAGACATGAGCCTCCTTTAAAAACCCTTTAAATTACATACAACCGATATAATAAGCAGAACTTGATTTTCTAACATTAGCAGAACTGTTTCTGGTCTGAATTTACAGATTTCTGGATTTAACATTAATAATATTGCCGTGTCCTTTGTTGGTAAATATTGTTTTACACTATTTTCCTTACATTGGTGCAAAGTCGGTAAAGAATAATATAAAATGACTGGCACACATCTGGTTGAACTGATCACTTCTGTTTCTGCCGAAACACACTTGCACTTGTTACTTTTTTTGTGATCTTTGAATCCATATGTTGACAATTACCCTCAGCAGAGCAAGGCTGAATGATTTCCAATCAACTGAGTCCAATGTACCTTAATGTTAAGCAGATGGGGCTTTTCTGCATGCAAATTGCAGAATTATTGCACATCATAATTAAGGATGGAGTTTAAAGTTAACAAATTCAATCTGACATAGTTCATGATTCTTATCACATGGAGTTAGGATGGAAGGCTGCATGCTTAAAGGCAACATGTGTAATGTAATGTTCACTTAAATGACAGATGTTTACCTTGAAACTCATGGAACATTTACATTAGAATGGATTATCGGTTCTTGAAGAAACCAGTAATTATTTTTTTAATTCATATAAGAATGAATGTATGTAGTTTTAATCTTCAGTTATGCATCAACCTTAAAATACAAATATTGTAACGGTCACTGCTATTAAAGGAAACTTAAATATTTGCTTGGCTTTTACTCTGATCCATTGGCTGCAATGTTTTCTAATATGCTGGCCCAGAACAAACTTGCAGCAAGTGAAGGCAAAGTGTTATCAGAACACCTGATCTCTAGACTTGTTCTTGGTCAGTGACTTAGGAAATATTAAAGCCACAGTATCAGCATACATTTTTCTCTTGGTACAAGTCTAATGTAAATACATCAACACTATACAAGGAGGGCCGGAATTACCTTTATTCAGAGTAGACACGTGCCTACAGGCACCCTCCATAGAGGGGCACCGTGCAGGTACCTACTGTGCTTAATTCCCAGTGTTGTGTCAAGATACAACACCGCCAATAGCAAGGAGAGTGCATTCTGCACAAAATAAACTCTCCTGCTCCAAGACCAGCAGCACCTACAGGAACCGAAGGACCCTGGTGCTGAGTAAGGCTGATACAGACAGGTGTTTAGGGCAGCCTAATGCAACACCAGGGTCCTTCTCTGCATATGTGAAAGCCGGTGGGCCCCGCCAAAATGGAAATCTATCCCTGTATACATGGTATTAATTTTAAAGCCTGAAGAAGGAAATTCATATGAAATGTTGATTCTGAAGGTAATTTTGAGAACAAAATCAAACTGCAGAAAATGCATCTGCAGTTCAGTTTAAAGGAGAGGTTTAGTGTATTTAAAGTGAGCACATATTTTGTGTTATTAAAGGAAGCTTTAAGTGGTTTTGTACATTTGGGACCCATTTACAAAAGTGCTTTGTGATAATGCATTAAACACACTGCAATGCATTGCTGTACCATTTATTTCAAATGGCACCCCAACATACCTATACAACACAATGCACTATAAACAATCTTCATGGGGTGGTGTGTTGCATTAATAATTAATGTTTCATATCAGAGTGTGTGGTGTAAACTTGGCAGGCTATTCAAAACCAATGAGCTGCTTATCTCATCTTGTGTTAAACACATGATCGCACATGTTAAATGTGCGTGTGACACTGCAATGCACTGATTTAAACCGGTCCTTATTCTGTCTCTCCCTTAACTTCTGTTAAGATATCGGTAGAGTAGAACAGATGCTGTTTATGTAGTAAAGTAAACAAAGTGAAGTTATGTTCCCTGTAATATCCACACATGTAACAAGGGAAATAAAAATATTAGAAAAAAGGATTTTTGCATGCAGATGATTGGATGCTTGAAGTGGAAACAGCTTCACCTGTTCACTTTGTTTAGAGAAAAGCTTTCACTACTGTGTTGGCCAACTCATACTTTGGTTGTGAGAAGTATAGCATCACAAAGCAGGAAGCAGAGACAGATTATATAATGAACAACTATGGCAGTCTCCATGTACATATCTGATAAAAAATCATACATAGAAACAATGTTTTGAAGTGGATCTCTACACTGTAACATGTTTATTTTAAAAAAATCCCTAAAAAGACCATCCATTCCATTTATAGGTTAAGTTCAAACAAAATTATATTTTACTTTTGGATGGATGCTGGAATGTTGAAACACATACCAGCTGCATTTATTTTTGTCTCCCTTGCTTCACTGTAATTTGTATTGGTTTCGTTTGTGGTATAAATATAGCACGTATCACAATACCAAGCGCAGCACACTGGCTCACAATTGATCACTGTAAACATTGTTGCTCTGCTCCATCATTTTTTATTTACATGACGCATGCTTCTGCCACTGGCATATTCTGACCATGTATATGTATAGTTTTTGTTAACAAAGACTATAGTGTAAAATCTGCTTTATTAATATTTGCCTAGATGACAAAAAAAGGCCTTTTTTTGTATGGACATTACACTCAAATTCAGCCCCATACTAAATATTTTTATGCCGATATTGGCAGCGTAAAGCATTGTTGAGTATTTAAAACATTATCAAATTATTTCAGATGAACACTTCTGTTAGTGTTTCTTGTTACTTTTGCTCAGTATACTGGTGTTGATACTACAGTGTAATAGATTACTGCAGGGATCCTCTGACGATTCACTATGTCTATAACATTACCTGCTATTATGACAATCAACAGTTGTACTTGTTTGCATCCCTATATGTTTGTATGTGATGTTATTTTCTTATTAAAACCAATAAAAATTTACTTGGTTAAAAAAATTATCAAATTAATAAATATGAGATGTATTTTTGTGTAATAGCAAATGCCTTTGCTTAATGATCTGCTTTCATGTGCTTTTATGTTTAATAGGTTAAAAAAAGTGAAAAAAACTATTAAACAATTAAACAAATTGATATCAGGCACATTGCCTCAAAAAGAGACCTTTCTCTCTTTGAGTTTGACATAGGCATGTTCAAGTGCACGGAGGTTACACATTTAATTTTATGCTGTGTTACAGGTGTCCCTTTGAAGCCAAGGAAGGAACTAAGCTTCAGTGAACTCCAACATGGAAATCTTGAGATTAAATGGTCTTCAAAATTTAATATTTCCGTTGAGCCAGTGATCTATGTTCTGCAGAAAAGGTGGAATTATGGGATACATCCAAGTGAGGATGATGCCACACCATGGCAAACTGTTGCACAGGTTTGTCTAAGTTTATAGTGTTATAGTATAAATGTAAAATGTTTTTGTGAATATCTGGTTGTATTAATGTGTGCTATTCTTGACCACTAATATCATCCATAGTCTAATTTTAGTGTACCTTAACAGAAGGGAAATTACCGTACATCTATATAGTTGTACTGGGTTAGTGTTACTCAAAGTATAGAAGCTAGATTCCCTGTTTGGAATAACATTGCCCTGGGGGTACAGAAGTCAGTCTGGTAGAATTTAATCTAAACACATATTGGTGTCAATGGCATGCTATTTCTTATATTATTACAGTAGTTTCTTTTCTTGAGACTGCCACAACAGGTGTAAATATCCACTACTAAAACAAGTGCATATGATAAACTTACAGTCCTTTAAATCTCACTATGCAAGAGGCGGTTTATTTACTGTGTTCATTGTGTTCATTGAACTTAGTAAACCAGTCATGTTCACTTCAGTTGTCCAATCATGTGCAAGGAGAATCCTATTTTTTCATGTTTTTTTGGCTATTATTGGGTATTTTAAGTTAACAAAACCTCACCTTATTTACTCAGCTTGGTGATCATACCCTTCCCGAATGCAAAACATCCACTTTGCTACCTTAACTGTCTCTATTTCTTTAGTAAAGCAAATCATCTGAATCAGCTATTACATGCACAGCAAATTCATTTCTACATTTATCAAATAAAGAATTCAACATAAACAATGAACATCTCATTTGGGTAGATACTGTATATTACTATTGCATATGATACAAGCTCTATAGAATAATAAAATATGTAGCAATAAAAAAACAAACACATGTATTTGCACATTTAAGTGCCATGTCACAGTTTCAATTATTTTAATAAAAAGGTAAATTAATGTCTATACAAAATAAGGCTTTCTTTAGTGATACGTTTAATTTATTTAGTGTGTAAAATGGTACATCTGGCTCAGTACTTTACCAGAACCATTTTCCATCCAGAGTAGAAAAGTGCTTTTACATTCCAGATATTTTAAAATGGTGCCAAGGTAAACCTAGAAAGGGGAGTAAAATGTTGTGGTTGATGGCTAGTCTATTAAGTGGGAGTTTTTGGCCTACTATCAATACTAGCTCTGTGTGGCCTTAAAAAAAGTGTCCAGTGATCTTTTTTTACAATAAATTAGATGGTAAGTATTTGGTTAGGTAATTTAACTGCCACTTATGACAGGTCACAAGTAGCCAAAGCTTGAATTGGACAAAATTGAGCAAAATTGGACCTATAGGGCTGGTTTATCAAAGTGTGAAGTGAGCTGAAGTAAATATCATATACAGCATAGGTATTTTTTAAGAGTAAATCTGATAAATACTCTTCACAAAGGGTAAATATGAGTTAACACATTCTGGGTAGAGAAGCAAATAAAAAGTAAAAAAAGAACTGTAAGTGTTGGAACTGAAATTACCGGGTATGGTTTCTAACGTACTTGCATATGTTTAATCAGATTTAAACTAATGGAGTCCTTGCACAGTCTTTCTTTTAAATCCATTGATTCCTAGCCCCATCCTAGATAGCCAACTAAAACACATTTGTAGGAGTAATGCTTGGAAGGCGAGACTGAAATAATAAATGGAAGCCATTCCAATAATTTTGCTTAGTTTTATACATAGTAAATGATCAATTATGTGGTAAGGAAAACAATTTAAATGTATATAGAGCTACACAAAAGAGTATTTGAGCCTGTTATACAGGTTATGAATATACATGACCTTACACAGTTTTCGTAGAACAATTTTAAATGGAAACTTGTGTTTAATTGATGTTTGACAAAGCAAACTGCAGCTGTTTCATTAATATGCTAGGGTTGGACCTTATAGAATTGTGGTACAGCATTGAGCTAATATAGAATAAATCTGCATCATCATTTGACTATCACGAAGGGCTCATTCAAGACAACTTGAGAGAGGTTTGACTGTTTAGTGTAGTGAAACCAGTGACATATGGTTTCTGATTGTTTGCTGAAGGGAAGTAAAGTTTGCCAGATGTAGTTTGCAATAAACTACCTAGACATAGACATAGATCCAATATTTTCAAGCTATATGTCAGAAGTGAGAATTGCTTGCTGTAACTGGACTATGAAGGAGGCAATGACAAAAACAATAACAAACATTAGTAAGCTTTGGAAGTACTTGCTCTTCCTCTTAGAGGTTTTCCAACATATGGGTACTTTCTTGCGGCTGATGAGTGATTGTTGCTTTTTCCCCATGAAAAAGGAAACAGACTCTTCATTACACATGTCCATGTTCATCATCACCCATCAAGATATCAAGCAGATCTCTTACCATTAGCTGTTGTCAGTGAGAGATCAGCATAATTATGGAAAGCCCTATAAATATATTATTATGATGATTATTATTATTAATATTATTCATACACAAAACGGTGCAAATTATGACACTCGGGAGCTATAGAATTCAGAGCAAGACCTGCACAGTTAAATTAAATACCATTAATAAGATTCCTACACGAAAAATCTTATAATACAAAGGAAAACACAATGAGATTTGGAAGCAGTTGTTATATTGTAGATTAAGTTAAGTAATAGAAAAATGAGGTAATAGGATAAAGAGTAGGAAAACAAACTTATGTGACTTTTTAAAGGATTGGAACCAGGATTCCTTCAAAATTTGGGAGGGTTGGTTAATTTCTTGTAGCATGCAAAAAGGTGTTCTATATAACAGGTGAAGCACAAGGGAGGTTCTGAAGGCAAGAGTGAGAAGTGTTTAACAGCAATGTCATTATATAATGAAATCCACTACTGAGTGTATTAAAGGTTCTGGGTGGGTATACTGTATGTGTAGGAAACTGAAGCAAAGTCTGACAGAGAGGAACAAACCTTGAGTATTTGATATTATATGTTAGTTGAGCTGCAGTGTTCATAACAAACTGGACATAAATAGTCTTAAGTGGATCAAAAACTAGAGTTATATAGTAGACCAGATAAGACTGAGCGTGTACCAATACTTTAGTGGTAAGATTCATAAGAAGTCATTATAATATTTTTGACCTGGTTGATTCCATTATCTCAGTATAGTATATCTCTTGGGCAGTTTTTCAGTTTATTCTAAACGTGATTTAGCTGAGCTCTTGTCTATTTGAATGTTTGTTTCTATTTTTTTGTAAAATGTTTGATGTGATTGTGGCTTTAGTGATTTGTAATATAGCTTACTTAGGAGTGCAATGTAACATCTATATACCACACACATGCTCTTGTTGAGCCATTTGTGGACATGTTGGCAAGATTTAACACAAGTGTGACACCATTGCGCAGCCTTAAACCAACGTCATCATAGTTGTGTTTGGTTGGATGGTTAGTTAGGCTAGATAACAACTAGAAGACATCCAAAGCTTCTATATTAAACTTTTGCTAATCTAATCAAAGTGTAATTTTCAGACTACAGATGAAAGGGTACAACTTTCAGAAGTGAGACCGAGCAGGTGGTACCAGTTTAGAGTGGCTGCTGTGAATGTTCATGGAACACGAGGTTTTACCGCACCCAGCAAACATTTCCGTTCATCTAAAGGTTAGTAGTACCTATAAAGTCACACCACTATACAGATCAACTCTACAATGTCTCTACAAAATATATATATACTACCTGCATACAACAATTGGTGTTTGTCCTGTTTTGTCAGTTGGGTTACACAAAAAAATAACATGTCTGAGTCAAACAAAAGAATGAATTTCTTGGCGTTCACTATACCTACACAGCTGTAAGAACATTATCGCACTGGGGTCTAGGTTGGCAGAGTAAAACAGTGCATCAAATGTAAAAGTGTACATAGAATGTGTAGTTTATTAGAATGTATGAGATGCAATACCACCTCACTGTCATTCAGGGGAGGACTGAGCTGGGGGGGCATGGGGCATTTGAAGATACTTTCAGACCTGTGATGACAGTGACTGGCAGAGATAAGTCTTCCGGCAGCAACTTCATTTGGGGCTCTGAGAAGTCATGTGAACAATTACCAAGAGCTGCAAGGGAAGCTGATTCTAGAAAAGTTAAAAGGAACACCTGCTTTTCACAATGCCCATTAATCACTGCAACACCACTGCAAATGTTGCATGAAACCAATTTCTTTAAGTGATATTAAACCCTCAAATTTTATAGACAATTTCAGGTGCTGCCTTGAACACTTACATGGTATGCCTCTACATCAAGAAACCTTGCCTTTTCCTCCGGGATTATTCTTCTCCCTTATCACTCGCCATGTTTTCCAGTTTTGGGGTGGCTCCTTTCCCTTGCAATGTTCTATGGAACCACCTTAAAGTGTGTGCTCCTGGGAATAGAATTACATGCTGATTTGTGGACACTGCCTGCACCAATGTGCGGGGACAGTTTAGATTAACACACAGAGAACACCCCTTTAGTCCTTTCTCCCATGGAAGATTGACAGTGGCTCCTGTGATAGCACTGTTACTTCCACAACAAGGCAGCCAGATTGCATTGATGAAGGGGCACAATAGATGATGGGACATGCAGTCCCGTTATGTAATCATGTGACTTATAATTAAGTTTAGAGATCCCACTCCCCGACCAGAAGAACATGTAAGTGACAGAGAGTAAGATAGAGAATGCAGCTGTATACTGATACTAATGGGAGTCTTTCTGCCCATTTTGGGAAGGAATTGCTTATCGTCTTGTGATACATTAATGTATAGTATTTGTTTTAGCTAAATCCAACAAGCCTTTAGTACTATTTAATAATGTTAACATGCAGAGCTCAAAATCTTAGCCTGCCCGCCTGAACTTTATGTTTGGCATTTATTCTGAAAAGGCACATTTTTCACTTATGAATTCCTCAGTCGCTGTCAATTCTTCTTAGCTTATAGTCTGTTTAACTACAAGTGACAGTTCATCATCAACAGCTTGTATTTCTTGTTTGAGTTGAAAATGTTTGCGCAGTAGAATTGCCTATAAAAGAACAAGTAAAATGTACGTCGTATTTTACATGTGGATGGAACAGAGCTAAATATAAATATTCTGTTTTCTAATTACCTCTTTTGCCTTATATTTCTTCATTACATGCAATATTTTCTGTATTGCTGTAATTCATTATGAGTATACTTAAAGCTGTACTCAATTGTAAACATTTAAAAGAAAAAGCCCTGCCTAAAGGTGCCCACACACCTTGCGATAATCATACAATAATCGCAGGAAATCCCGCGATCATACGATTATCGTAAGCTGTGTGAAAAGCCGTGCAACCTCTACTACTGTAAGTTCGCACGACTTTTATCTTACGAACATGTTCGAAAACCCACCGAGAATCGTACGATTTTCGGCGGGTGTGTAGCATGTTCGTAAGATAAAAGCCAGACGGGCCGGTGTGCGCAAGCGCACACTGCCCGTTCGGCATTGCGGTCATTGGAAGCCCGCCCCTAAGCGGGGCGGGCTTGCGATCATCGCAAGTACAATCTGCCTGTCCAAGATGGGCAGATCGTACGTTTTTTTAATTACCTTACAACCATCGCAAGAGCCCAGACTAAGAACAGCAGAGACAACAACAGTAGAGATGTCTACTATTAAAGGACAATTTAATTCTAATGCCCTTTCTCTTTTAGAGTTTTATACATACGCATAGTGTGATCTTTAAAACTGAAGTTTATTCTCATTGTTTTTTGTCTTTCTTGGTTTCTCCTTCCCCTTTATCAACATACTAATGACATTTTTCAATAAAACCTTTCTGTTTATAGCACATACCTTATTTTAGACACATTTTAGACACATTGACATCATCACTAGGCCTATGTGTTGAATGCAGGCAGATTATGGCTGATTGGATGGACCAGCAGGGTGCTGCACATAGCTTCTTTAAAACTGCCATGCTGCACAGCTGCTTAAAACGGACATCCACTAAATATATATGATATTTTCCCCGTCTCTGATTAATTGATCCAGGCTCGAAGAGATTACATAACAACAAAGCCCTGATAAATCGGAGCGTTTGGCCCCTGAAACCTGTTGGCGGGGTTTCATTACCCCTAACACCTGTGGAATAGCAAAATACAGTTCTGGACTCTTGATACATGTGTTTGGTGCTCTGTTTTGACTATGCATGGATTTCTCATGCTGAGTGATCCCTTTATTGGGAAGGCCTAAAGGCCATGTAGAAAGCTGCTGATTGAGTTTTCACCTGCGAACCAATAAACTGGGTCCAGCATCTAGCATCTATAAGTGAATAAAGCCTCAATTTAATTTTCTTAGTGAAAATGTACTTTGTAAGTGAGCGCTTAGCTGCTGCTTCTCATGATGCATGTTTATGAGTCTGCCGGCCCATTGAAAATAATTCACTCCCTGTGTGGCTGATATTTTATCTTAACAGTTGTTTTGGAGTCAGGCAGAGTCATTGTAGTAGGCAATTTGGCCTCCAGTGGCTAAAGTACAAATTTATACATTTACCCCAATATCAAAAAATATGAAATATCAAACAGTTAAAATCACATATAAAATTACTTTTAAGCTAATCATTGCATGATAACTCAAAATATGTGAATGGATTATATTGTACATTCCATTTAAAGCAGTCTTTTCGTTAGATTGTAAATTTGAACTTATTTTTTTTTAAAATTATTATGATCCAGTATATTTCACTGTAATGTAATTAGCAAGATATGCCAGTACTGTGACAGTGTTATATATGTCACACACAGTACAGATAGGTCCTTCATTAAAAACCTATTCTCTTTACTGTAACATAATGTGCTACTGTGAAAGCTAACTAATTAAAGCTGAATTCATAAAAAAATACATTTAAAACAGGAAAAACTCTCCCTATCGAACTTCTCTTCCTTGGAATAGAGCAGAGCAATATGTGTAGTAGTGACTTTGAAATGTCCCAAAATGCTATTGTCATCAATAAGTGCTATGTAAAATAACACTAACCTAACACATTCAGTAGATTAAGCCTCACTGTGTGTAAAAATGTTACAACTGTTATTTATTTTGTAAAAGCAAGTGAATCTATTTGCTATGTGGGTATAATGAGTAATATCTGTGACCCACGTTGAACTTACTTAAAATTACACTAAATTCAGAGTTAAACCTTAAAAATGCATCCAAGTACCTTAACTATTAACAAAAATGGATCTTATTTGTGTATCACTCAGCTGTAGATCCTCAAATCAGCTCTGAATTCATGCTGACACTGTCCTTCTTTCTGGAGGGTGGCTACTTTTGTTCCCCATGGTCCTTGTGTGTGTTGTAACATATCCACCGCTCCAAGCTCGCTCCTGTGATTGTAATTTCAATACAATTTAATAAACTCACGGGAGTGAGCTTGGAGTGGTGGCTACTTTACAACACACACAGGGACCATGGGGAACAAAAGTAGCCACCCTCCAGAAGGAAGGACAGTGTCAGCACCAATTCAGAGATGATTTGAGGATCTACAGCTGAGTGATACACAAATAGGATATATTTTTGTTAATATTTAGTGTACTTGAATGAATTTTTACAATTTCACTCCTGAGTTTAGAGTCACTTTAAAGTATATGTAAACTCTAACAATGAACGTCTCTTATATTCTCCCTTTGGTCTGCTAAATGTACCACTGAAAGCTTTTTGATAAGTGCAAAAAATACCTGTTGATTTTGGCAGAAATTACATGAGATGATACGTTTCTGGGCTCTTTGCCTGTGCACAAAGGGGACGGGGATGGGCATGGGGATGGGGATGGGGAAATGGAAGGATAAGAGAAGAGGTCTGGACAATGCATCAGAAATAAAGTAGGCAGTGCTGAAACCACTTGCTTAAAATTCAGAGCCAAAAATACACTGTGCTGTCATGTGAAAGAGGAAAGTAGGAGCACACTATATTTCTGGTGCATCAACAGGTTTTTTTCATGTACATACAGCTTGTTTAAAGGAATAAAACATTGCAAAACGTGCATGTATTGCTGAGATGTACGAATTATGCTTTAAACGTTGCCTTGACATATGCTTTAACCAGAAATACATTGTAGAAAACAATTTAAGCTAACTCAGTTTATCTTACTGCTAAAAATGGCATTAGGTTTTTAGAAGATAAACTTATGAAGCTGTTTTTTTTGTAAATTGCTAGTATATTATTTTTATACAATTTTAACCTCTGTGAACCAACTGTAATAACTCATAATAACACAAAGTAATGCTTGTTTTCAGGAAGCATTTAGCTTTACCCAGTTCAAGTAAAAGACAGGTCAAATGTTAGCATATATCAACCACTTTCTAGCCATTATCTGCTCTCAGAGGCATCAGTTAACTATTAAACATGAACACAACAAAAGAATCAATATATTACTTGGGCAACAAGCACTTATCAAGTTAATGTATCCACTAAAGCAATGACAGTGTGCTAGTTAGTAAAGTTATAAATGCTGTGAATAGTTGGCTGGCCAAATGCTATTATGAAGTAAATACTTAAGCCATCTTTCAATCAAAATCAATCACTTGTAAGTTTCTCAACATAAAACCCACATATGAATTATGTGTTTGTCTAGTTATATGGAATAGGTGCTACAAGATATGTAGATGTGACAGTGT